AAAAAAAAAAAAAAAAGGAAAAAGTAGTATCTATATATAATAGAATACTACTTGGCTGTAGAGAGGGACCAATTGAGACATTTGAAGGAAAATGGATGTACCTGGAAAATATAATGTTGAGTGAAATAAACCAGACACACAGTTTAAATACCATATGGTATCTCTCATTTGAGTAAGGCAAAGTACAAACAAAGAGATCAATAAAGGATGGACAGATGGATTGAATGAGATGAGGGGATGCATCTCTTGCAAACAGCAAATGGGAAGGGTCCAAGAGACCAAGGGCAAGGGGGAATGGGAAACAGAAGGGGAAATAAGCAGGATAAAGCTGTGCCATGCATTACAGGGACCTAAGAACCTCCATGAATGTAAATATTATATTACAAAATGAGCTAAGATTAATAATATCAGTAAGAATAAAATGGAGAAAGGAGAATTAGAAGAGGGAGAAAGGGAGGGGGAAAGGTGAGAAGAGGATTTTAAAAAAGGAAGCAAGTTGTATTATGTACATGTCCCAAGATGACTGTAAAATGCGTGGACTGCAAATATGTACTAATAAAAAAAAATTTACAATGTTATAGTAAAAACTGCTGCTGGCATGGCTATTTCCAAGTATAGATTAACAAACTTTAATGTATACCTCACATTATATATGAAAATTAACTCTAAACGGATCATAGATCTAAATGCAAGAATATTTTCCTTAATGACCCTTTACCTAAAATTAACTACAGTGTATTACTGTTTCCAGTTAAATATTCTTGCTTTTGTGTTTTGACATAATTACTGAATTAATGTAAACTTTTAGTTATCTTCTTATTTTTAAAAGTCTTTTCATTGTTCTATCTCACACAAGAGTCCACTGATTCCTTCAACAACAATAGAACCTGAAATGTATTAAAGAAAGATGATTCTAAAAGTATGAAAAATGTTTGACTTTTTACCTATTCCTGTTTCTGGCATTGCAAAAAGAGACTTTTCAGTAGCCACTCGGAATTGTCCGTGAACTGAGACACCAACTCCCTAAGGAAATGAGGAAAACATTTTGGTTTTAAAATACTGTAAAAATTAAAAGCATAAACATAAATATTACAAAGCGGTTCAATAATCTTTATACTCCACAGGAATTTGTTTCAGGGTGAAGCATACAATTTCAGATGAACTTGCTGAACAGAAATAGAAGCAAATCCCTTATATTCAAAATAGATTTATATTCAAAATAGTTTCCATCAGTATTCTGTGTTAGGCTTCAGGGTCCCCTCCCCACTTGCTCTCATTTCAAAACAGACACGGAATAAAATACTGACTCTTCCCAGAAGCACAGAGCGTTGCTTAGCACTGGCACCAATAAGCAAAACAACACAACCAAGTTATCCTAGCAAATTCCAAGAATTTTGAAAAGAACATTTAACATACTTTATTTACTTACATACTTTAAACAAAATCAGCCACGTCATTTTTCTCAGATACATTTAATGAGGCCAATTATAAAATTCTTAAAAAATTGATTGCTAAAGGACATCTCAAACTTGTTGAACATCACTGAAAATGGCAAATACCAGTTGTTTCTCAATACCACACATATTTGAAATGGGAGTACACGAGACGAGTAAGATCCAAGTTATGTCAACTGCTATCACTGTCATGTCTTGCTTTTCACAATATTCAGAACATACTCCTTCCTTTTATGATTAATCCTCCCTAACCAGTTTTTGCTCTTTGAAACCACAGTGTTAAATGAATTAAACAAGTGAAGTATTATCTGAAACAATGCCAAGCCCTCAGTAAGAGTTCTTTGTCACCTAAATAGAAAGGGTTTCGCTTCTGATTCTTTTTTCATGAAAATTTCCTCAACTATGTCAAAAGTTTTCACATTCAGTTCAGTTGCTTCTAAGTTCTTAAAACTTTTAAGCATTTCATTAATACTTAGAAACACATGCAATTTATTATAAACTTTATGTACTGTGTGCTAAACTTAAAATTTAATAGTTCAGGGGGTCCGGGGATTTAGCTCAGTTGTTCTGGTGCCTGCCAGGCAAGCACCAAGTCCCGAGTTCAATCCCCGGTACCAAAAAAAAAGAACAGCAACAACAACAAAAAAGTAGTTCAGGGGATTTAGCTCAGTGGTTCAGCCGCCTGCCTCGAAAGCACAAAGTCCCAAGTTCTATCCCTGGTAGCAAAAAAAATTTAATTCATATCCATAAAATTAGAAATGAATAAAATTGTTTAGTCATTTTCTACATCCTTTGGTATCAACATTTATAAATTATATCCATAATAGTACACCCACCCTATGTAGGTATATTTATGTTATAGGTACTGTATCAGGACAGGATAATATTAACCCAAAATAGATTGCATATACTTCAAGACTTCAGTAAAATCTTACAATTTTCATAAAAATAAAACACTAGACTAATAGTTTCCTATATTTTATAATCCCCGTTCTTTACTTTTAGTTTATCACATCATAACTGAAAGTGTATAACTGTTCAGAAATGTGCTACAAAACTTTAAAAGAAAGGCTTTAACTGAATGAGTTTGTACCGAGCCCCGCGACTCAGAAGAGCTGCCTCCCAGGCCCGACTTCAGCAGGCCAACCTGCCTCAGCTCTACCTCCTCCGGTTACCACCTCCTCTTCAGTTAACTGAATTCCATGAGCACCACATGGCTGTGCTCTTTAGGGAACATAACATGTAAAGGTGAAGTCTACCCACAATTCTCAATCCTAGTCTTGTCATTCTCTCCCCAGGCACACACAGCTTTTAACACCTTGGCAAGGAGACCTCAGCTTTCTTCCTATATATCTCTAGTATTTGTTCAAATATGTGCATATTTACCTGATATGCATTATAAATTATGACAATATACAGTACGTGAATCACATATTACATCACACTGCATCGTATGGAACGGAGCTTGATACACATACACATTTTCCTTGTTTTGCTTTTGCTTTCCAAACTCCACTCCATGGCCCATGCGGCTCTACCTTATCTTCCCCAGCCACCTCACTTCAGCTTCCTGTGCTCATTTCATTGGCCACGGGGCTTCACGTTATTCCTCCAAAATTGTAAGCTTATACAATCTCAATGCCTTGTGTAATTTTAAAGTAAGGAAGACATACAAGAGAAGGCTACCACCTGCCCAATCACTGCCTTTTCTCTTTAACAGAATTTGCCCGGCCGAGGGACCTTCTCTGGTCCAAGCAGCTCTCAAGGGCAGATGGCAGTGGACCAAGGGCAGCAAACTGAAACAAACCAGAATTCAGAGGCCCCGGGAGTGAGGGGGAGATGAATTAGGCAAAGTTTCTACACTTAGCTTTTTAAACTAAAACACAGTGGGCAGCCGCTGGTTGATGACAGGCAATGAAGCTTAAAGGCCATCTGAAATTTGAGTTGAAGACATGGCAGCCATGTAAAAGTTGGGGGCAGACACCAAAAACCTGAGAAGGCTGCAGCTTATACAACACAGAGAACAAAACAAACATACAGAGAACAAAACAAACATGCAGAGAAGCAGAGGCAATGAGAGGGAGAGAAAACAGGCAAACACACTACTGAAATATGCCGAAAGCCCACGCCTGCAGTCCAACTTGCCAGAAGATAAGGCAGGTTGTTTTATCTTCAGATTCCCATTGAAGTTCTACACCTAACTGTCCTGTTCTTTTCGGTGGGTCTGTCTGAGTCTCTGTTCTTTTCAATTTGCCGTTCTGTGATTTCCCCGCCACTGCTATCCCAGACTAGCCATGCCCAACACAGTGCAGGAAACCACATTCCTTTCCAAACTAATAGACCAACTTCTTGCCCCTGCTGAACTCCACAGAGGAAAAATGTTAAAGCCCCATGTACTATCATGTAGAAACCATCAATCCTGTGTTCCCTGATTCAGTTCTCTATTTTGCATTATACAATTCTTTTAGCCTCAGCTGATAACATAATGAATGAAATAAAAGACCTTGAGATTTTTAACAAAAAATTTTCAGAACAAGAGACCATGGACAGAAATGTCATTAAGAGCTCATTGAATATTCAGCCACCTGCCTCACAAGTGAAAGGACAGAAGAAAACTGAAGCCACATGACTTGGACTATAAATGCAAATCCATGTTGAAGTAGGTGTAGAATCCCGTGGCAGACTCATAATTTTTCTATCTTACATCAAAGGACAGGCTATTTGTGATAAGCCCCCTTAAAACTTCAAAATTTAATCTGATGCCATTTTTCTACTCCATTTTATCTAAAATTTGGTCTGTCTACATTCATTCCCTAGGTGATCTCTAGTCCCAGGACTTCAAGCACTATCTATAACATTAATAATGTATTCTCCCATCCCTGATCTCTCTAGACTCAGCTGTCTATTAAACATCTCCACTTTAATGTCTAGTATTTCAACCTTCACACCTGTAACCCAAGCTACTTAGGAGGCTGAACCAGGTTCAAGACCAGCCTGGGCGACTTAGTGAGACACTGTCTCAAAATTTAAAAGTTGTTAGGTGATATAGCACTCGCCTAGCATGTGTGAGACCTTGGGTTCAGTTCCCAGCATGCCAAATATCAAATTAAAAATCTCTTGGGCTAGGGATATAGCTAGTGGTAGAGTGAACACTTGCCTATGGTCAATTCCCAGTACCAAAGAGGAGGAGGAGCAGGAGGAAGAGGAGGGAGAAAAAGTAAATCTCTTGATTTCTCTTGAAATGTGCTTCTCTCTCCATCTTCTTCATATCAATAAACAGCATCACCGTTCACGCGGATGCTCAGGTCAAATATCTTAATGCTACATTCTTTCTTACCCTACAACCTATGAACCTGCTGTGACAAATCTAACTCCAAAATACGTCCTCAACATCTCCACTCTGACAACCCTACTTGAAGCTACCATCACTTCTTCCCTGGCCACTGTCTCGTTTCTGTTCTTGCCATCTCCATCCTCTACACAGTGAAGCTTATGAAGATGTGAAACACACCATGCTATTCTCTGCCCCAAACTCTCCAGGGACGTCTCATCACACTAAAATATTGTCCAAATCCTCATCACGGCTGAGATCCTACATAGTCTGGGCAATTTCTATCTCCCTAATCTTGTGGTCTACCACTCTCCACTTTCCTCCTTGTCCTTTCTTTTTATAGTTTAACTTTCTTATAGTAAACATTTTTATAGTTTAATTTTCTTAACACATGCAAAATATACAAGCAGCAATAGTAAGTTAGGAAGTGTACAGGTTCATTGAATTATACCCAAATGAATACATCCATGTGACTGAAACCCAGATAAAAATGACCAGAAATCCCTTTTTGCACTGTCAGTTGCTAGTTCCTCCATCCATGTAACAACTAACTTGACTTCTAGGGAAAGATTAGTTTTTCTTCCCCCTGGTTTTTATGTAGCTATAAGTAAAATCCTAAGATATATATTATCTGACTTCTTTCAGTCAATATTATGTTTGTGAGATTTGTTCACACTGTAGCAATAATTTGTATAGCATTCTTTTGTATGAACAATCTCCAAGCGACTCTGACACAAAATAAAGTGTGAAAATGAGTGTATCTGGGAAATTTAGAAAGGTCCTTGGGTGAACCTGAACCACACACTAGTTAATACAGACAGCACCGTTCTTAATCAGTGCTGGTCAGAGTGGTGCTCACATATACTCCCACACATATAACAGCCATGAATATTCCACTCATCCTAAGGAAAAGACTGAAATAGATCAGATCAAAATAGCAGTGTTCTGAATAAAGGTGATGCTGCTTCTTCCTATTGGTGTGTTTTCTGTATTTAAAGTACATAAACGACTTTCAGAATGAAGGCATACTTTTTATCAGTCTTTAAACCAGAATTCTGCTGGACGTTTAAATGTGAGTGCCATAGGCGGTGGTTTTCAAAGTTGCATGTTATCTCCCCCAGGTTGAAAAAGTACAACCAAACTATGCTCGGTACCTGCCGACAACAGAGGAACAGACTGCTGCTGATTCTGCTTTTTAACCACAGAGCTGTTAGCAGAATCCTTTTCCAAAATGATGTGCAAGATCTGGGCAATTTCTGGTATACAAGAGATGTCAATTAGTGGTTCTACAAGAACAAGAGGGGGTACGTCTTGTGTTCCAAATAACTAAATCTCTGAGGTACTAAACAGGTAGAATTTTTGAAATTCCACTCTTTGGCCTCCTATTGCTGCCTACCTAACTTCTATCAACTGTTGGGGTTCAGAACATGACAGCCCAAGAGTACATATTTTGGAGGTCACTTCTGACTTTCTCATAGTTTTCTGGGGGTGAGCAGGCAATAAAGGAATTCCCTGACCCATCTCTCCTGAAAGTACCTCAGTAGACCCTCATGTGAAGGGCAGCCTGCCTCACATCCAGAGGAAAGGGATACCACACCACAAGGCCAAGAAGATCTGAACAAACAGCCCTTGCTGAGTTCTATCCAGTTTACTGTCACAAGCTCATGCCCTTTTATCCAATCCACTTTTACCCAGCCATCCATTCTGCACTGAACCTGAGCATAAAGTTTCCAGGGTCTTCAGGTGTTCACTTCAGAAGCCTCCCGTGTCGTAAAACTTAGATTCCACAGATCTGCTATGCTTCTCTCTTTTGTCCTAGGGGTGTCAGCCATGACCTCTGTGAGGTGTGAGAACTGTTACTTTTTCTCCCTTACACTATTTTTCCAGGCTTGGTTCAATTCACCATGTTCTCCATGCAGCCATTTTTCTGCCATGAAGATCCATTCTGGCCCCTTGCTCCCTCGAAGGCTCCTGTTATGGTCAGGGCTGTGCAATTTCCCACTTGTTCTGTCATTTATGTTTTCTCTAACTCCATATCAAGTTCTTCAAGGCCAGTCACATTTCAGACTTATTTATAATACCACAGAGGTAAAACATTTGTTGACCAACAGGAATTCAGTTTTAGAGATTTCATAAAGATTACAAGCACTTCCACTAAGTGGATACAACCTAGGCAACCACATCTCCATTACTGAGTCTAAGAAAAAACCCTAAGCATTTGGGTTTCTCTTCTGAAGCTGTTGGAAGCAATCAGTTAATTTGTAAATAGAAAAATGTCTATATAAACAAAAAATGTATTCAGTGTCTATTGCTTAAGAAAGCTTGCTAATTTCAAAGTTAAAACAGTATGTAACCCGAACATACAATTTCCTTTTAGGGTGAGATAATCTAAAAGCACTAGAAGAAAAGATATCACAAATCTGGCAGGATACAAAATCCAGTCCATACATGATTCTGTTTCAATTAATTCTATGGTATTACATTCATCTCACTTCTGCTTAATAATTATTAACTTATTCCTTTCAGCTTGTTCTTATCAATGAAGAGAGTAAAAAGTCTACTTACCCCACCCATTGTAATTCCATCAATAAGTGCAACATATGGTTTCTGGCAAGAAGCTAAAAGAAAGAGAACTGCAATTGTAGTTGCAATGTTTAAAATATATTCACTTTTTCTAAAAACCACATTATATGAACTATTTTTCCTAGAAAACTTTGGCAAGAAATATCAAAGAGAATCTTATGACTCATAAAAAAATTTTTAAATACTTTAAAAATACCAATCCATATGCAATACTAATTATTCGTTATTGTTTAATAATTCAGCCTCAAATTTGAAACAAATATAAGTCTTATATAACTCTAGGGGTGTATAATTAAGCTCTGCCACCAATGCTTATGTACACAGTTGTATTTTAAAGAACACATTTGTTTTCTCTAAAATGGAAGTACTGGATGCATACAGCAAAACACAGCATACGGTGTAAGAAAAAACAAGGCCTGGAAGTGAAAAGAGCCAGATTCCAGTCTCAGCTTTATCATTAAGTTAATTGGTAATTCAACCAGGCATTACATGACAAATATGCACGGATATTTTTTATATATATGCATGTCAAAAAAGTTGTATCATATATATATATGTATATATACACACACGTATATATATACATATATATACACCAATAAACTTCTTCATTTATAAAATGACAAGATTTAACATATGCCTTCAGATAACCTTTTCAGCTTAACAGTTGTTATAAACTTCTACTGTCTTTCGTTCTCTTTTTTGTTTTTCCTCTGAGTGGGACAGTTGACTAGAACAAAAAAAAATATAAATCACTGTATTTTTTCCTAGCTACTGCCAATATTAATCTCCCTACAAAGGCCAGTGTAGAACTGCATAGTTTTGATCCACTGAGCGATTCTGAAAGTATTCCCAATTAGCCACCAAAGCCCAACTTGAATTTCACATTCACAAGGACTTTCATTGCCCTCAATTTTGACCTGTAGTTCCCTAGAAACTACAAAAAGAAATTGGTTAGGATAGAGATACAGATATACGCACAGACCCCGCTTCACCAACAGATACACATATTTCAGATATAAACTATTAGACACTAATTGATGCAGGACTTGAAGTCAGAATCTGTTCAATGTCTTATTGGCTATGTCATTACAGCATATAAAAACTATACCCCAAAGACTTTCTGTATATTAACATCTTACCAAATTCTCTTTTCAAGCTGCTTAGGGGTTTTTTTCCCCTCTCCTCTTTATTTAATATAAACCTGCACTAAAATAGCAGCCGTGGATCATATAAACCATTTAGATATTAGTTACAATTAAGTAAAATTTAAAATTCAGTCTCTTAGTCATATGTGCCATATTTTCATATGCTCAACAGCCACATGTGGCCACTGGCTCTCTGGACAGCACACATACAGAATATGTTCATCACTGCAGAAACCCCTATTGGACAGCACTAGTGTAGAGAATCTACACAAAATTATAAGTAAGTTTGATATGTGGAATTTTTGGATTTAAAGAACTGACAGATATTCATTCCATTTGGTTCACTAGGCTAATGAAGGAAATAGTTTTTTCCTCTCTTACTCCAAAACCGTAAGAATTATAGAAAAAATAATTCTAAATCTATATTCAATTTCAAAGTTGAAATTGGAAATCTCCAGGTACCAGGAAATCTGCAGGTGCCAGAAACACATAAGAAACCCAAAGTCAATAGCTGAGTGGAAGCTACAGTCAAAGACTATGAATTATACAATTAGCTAATTGCACAAAGCTTCAAGTTAAGAGGAGCTATTCTATTTATAAAACAAGACTAGAAAAACTCCATTTACTGACTCAGGAACTCAGTAAGGAGGCCTGGTCTCTACCCAGAAGAGAGAAAGTCTGAGAAAGTGGATGTTCAAGCACTAGATAACCACCACCATTAAAACTGAACCAAAGATCCTTAATATCCTTAACAAAGCTGGAATACAAGGAATGTCCTCAACTTGGTATAAGGAGATTGATATAAATCTCCCTTATAAAGAGATTTATATCAATTGTGAACTTTTAAAAACTTTCTGTAACCTATAGACCACTAAAAATAGAGGAAAATACTATGGAGAATACCTTTACAACTGGTGCATAGATAAACTGTAATATATCCAGACAGTAAAATTCTATTCAGCAATAAAAATGAATGAACCATACATGCATCAACTTGGATGAATCTTAAATGCATTGTGCTAGATAGAAGAGTACAGACTTAAAAGGCTACTGTTTAATTTTGTATATTTGCTGGAAAATCAAAACCATAAGGATGGAGGGAAAACATCAGCAAATATCAGGGGTTAAAGCTGGCATACTTCTTGACTACAAAGTGGTAGCATAAGGGGTTCTTTTAGTAATGGAAATTTTCTGTATGTTCGTTGTAATTACCTAAGAGTATGCATTTGTCAAAACTTGGAATTATACACCAAAAGGATGATTGCAAATTTTTAAATAAATGCATTTTTAATGAAAAAAAACCCTTTCTGTATGATACCCATTCAATCTTCTGAGGTTCTAACTAAAATATAATAAAACTCATAAATATAGGGACTAGAAAGATACAGAAAAAATTATATGGAGATGATAGAATTGCTTGTGTAGAAAAGCCAAGAAATCCTACAGAAATATCATTAGAATTAACAATAAGTTTCAGCAAGGTTGCTACATATATTAAAATCTAAACCACTTCTAGATCCCAGAAATAATCACTCTAGGAAATATAATACGAAAATAATCATTCAATGTAGTAAAAAAACCCACACGCTACCCAAGAATAAACCTTTAAAATTTTTTAAATGATCTTCATCGAGAAAAATTACAAGACATTAAGAAAGGACATGAAAGTCAACTGAATGAAAATGTCCTAAACTAATATGGTAATAGTTGCACAACTTGGTAACTTTACTAAAATTTACTGAAGTCCAGATGAATGAAGAGATAGAATGGACGGAGGGAAGACTCAATATCAAAGATGTCAGTTGACCCCACATCAAATCCACAATTCATCCACAGGCTGTTTTGTGGAATCATACAAAAAAATTTTTAAGTTCATATGAAAGATTACAAAAAGAGTAATGACAAAAGATGTATTAAAAAGTCGTATTTTGGCAAAGAATTTAAAAACAAAGTATAAAACCATCATAAGTTGAAAGTATTACAAATCAAGAAAGTATGAATACATCTAACCTAGCAACATCATAGCTTTGCCACCTAGCACACCAAGAGCACCAGCTGTGAACCCTTGCATTGCATGGCTGCCTGGGAACTGCAGGCTGCTGCTGCGGCTGAGCATCGTAAATGTATCTATCATACTCCATATGACTTGCCCACAAAAAGATCAAAATCCAAACTCTGAAGGACAGTTTCCACAGAATGTGTAGTGCTTTCACATCATCATAAGTCTGGGAACACCAACATTTAGTAAGACAGTATTTATGGATTTTTTAAAACACACAGTAATAGTCTTAATAAACGTAGTAAAAATATAAAATACAGTCTAAGAGGATACAATATAAATTAATGCAATGGTTGCTTTTGGTGAGAGAAAAGAAAGGTATTAAGAAAAAAAATCACAAAATGGTTGAACCATAATTTTAAAACTGGTATTATATTTCCTTTAAATTTTATAACAAGCAAAAAAAAATGTGTTTTTCTGGATTGTTGGGTACAGAGTATCTTATTCTCTATAATTTATCTTTTGAATACACATTTGATAAAATACTGCTTTGTTTCCACTGAAACCTAAAACCTTACTATAAAGAAATTTTCACCCCAGAGCCTCAAAAATTAAGAAATGATACTTTTACACAGGAATCAGGAACCCAACTTTTTTGTTCACTAAGAAAGCTAGCTATCTGATCATGAATCCATATTTTCATATTAATTTTATGAGAAATACCAGTTAGGTGCAACCTAAAAATATTAAAGTATAATTGCTCTGAAATAAGCAGCCAGAGTAGTTTAATTAGCTTTACTTATGCCAAACACAGAAATAAGAATGCCTATGGGAGGCCAGCATAGTGGCACAGGTTGTAATCCCGGTTCTCTGGGAGGATGAGGCAGGAGGATCAAAAGTTTGAGCCCAGTGTGGACAACTTTGTGACTTAGCAAAACCTTCTTTAAAATAAAAGTCTGCAGATGTAGCTTAGGCCATGGACTCAATCCCCAGTATCACACATGTGCGCGCACACACACACACACACCTGTCAGGCATATCTTAAATCATACTGTATACTGTCCACCCATATCTTGATTGCACTCTCTAAGCTCCCAGAGCACACATACCAATGGCATTGTTCAGCATATATTCTTCTCTGAAGAAATATCGGGGCAGCTCCTGTTTTGCCTTTGCAGCTTCTGAGATTACTAAGGAAGGAAAGGAACAATTACAAATCAAAAAAGTATTTTCTAGTCAAGATGGTCAAACAAATCAAAAGTACTATGATAATTAAATACTGGAGGGAAGAGGGATTCTAAAATTGCTTGTTAAAGTTTTGAAGTTACCCATGCCACAGACATCCAATGTCAAAGCTTCAAGACAAAACTTCCTACTTTATTTACTGAGTTATAATGATTTTGTTTGCTTGGCTGATTTTATTTCCATCCACAGTTCTTGGCTCTGTCACTATAACTTCTCTTCCTTAAAGCGGGCCACACACTCTAATGTTTCCCTGCCCTCCTGGTGTGGAGCTGGTCATGAGTCATTGTCTGACTCATCTTGTCAGAGAGCAGATGACAAGACCCTCATTTGAGGAGTCCGCCCCAGACCTAGGCGGAAGGGATCTGCACAGCAGCAAGAAGAATCTGAACAGACCAGCCCCCTGGGTCTCCCTACTCAGCTACTACTCATTAAACCCTTCTAGCCTATCACATTTCACATGCTTCCACCATGTTATGCAATGAGCTCTACATAGAAAGCCAGAAGCTCAGGGTTTAGAAAGTTCGGTGTAGCCAAATACATGGCGTTTTGAAAGAGGGCACAGAGCTCCATGCCCTTTCCCTAAACCTTGCCAAGTGCATCTAATCATTTGTATTTTTTACAATAAAGCACTAAATGTAAGTGTTCTCCCAAGACTCCTTAAGATCATCTATTCTAAAATACAAAATGGACCCATATACCACAACTGGACATTTTGTTTAGGATGAGTCATAGTAAAAATATCTAAATTTCATAAGAGTACGTGTACAGTAAAGAAAAAAAATCCCTATTCTTCTCATTTTCTAATTAAGTCCTAAATTTTTCTTTTTAAGAATTAACTTGGAGTCGTGCAGAAAACACCGAATCAGCCCACTGCAGACAGGCAGGACTGCGCCTGAGGTGGTCAGTCGCACAGAAAACACCAAATCAGCCTGCGCCCTAACAACAATCCACTGGACCCCTGCCCTCCATTGGCCTCTTCTCTGTACAGCCACCTGGTTCCACACTACAAAGACACAGAGGACACTAGACCATCAGACCACTGTACTGGAGCTAATCAAGTTCTCAGCATTTAAAGAATTCCTGCCCAGAGGTAGGGGCTTCTGAGCTACCATCCCACTGCTCCTGGTCCAGAGGAAGGGGTTTCCAGGCCACCAAACATCCCACCGCTCCCGGCCCAGAGGAAGGGGCTTTCGGGCCACCATCCCTGCCACGGCTTAGGGCCCCTGGCCCACCTCTCCCAGCTCAGAGGTGGTGAGCCGTGCGGATGCCAACAGCATCCCCCCTGCCCCCCCAGTCAAAATGAGAAAACACATAAATAAGTCTCAAAACCAGACTTCCAGATCACCTACAGCAACCCCAAAGGGAAATGAGATGGAAC